AACCATAAAAATAGCCACTATAACATGATCCCATAAAAATAGGAACTAACTTAGTCCTCATTCTTTCTACCCCTCTTTCTCACGTACACTTGTTTGATAGGAGGTCTAACACTACCCCTTTAGACACCATTGACTTATTCCATTAGAAAATTTGATCCATAGTTTTTTCTACTGAAGTTAATGGCAGTCGTAACTGTTTTAGACAGATTCACTTCTATTTCCAAAGACCTCTGGAAAAGCTTAGAATCTTTAGCAAACTAGCTATTTCTTCTCATTCCTTATGCTAAAGAGTAATACATTCAGTGTAGTGGAGGCAATTGATTTGAATTTAATATCTTCTTGTATGAAAGCCTTTCAGGAGATTATTTTGCTTAATTGGCAACCAAAACAAAGAGAAATTGAGGAAGATGATCCTTTTTTATTGCACTGTATGATAGAATGATATAAAAGTCACAATTGATTGCCAATTGATTGCCATAATTAGTGGACATCATTAATACTTGTGGAAAAATTTCTGCATGATACTGTCATGATGAACTAAAATAAGTGCAACTCTAATTACTGTTTTTTTTTTCCTGCTTAACCATGACTTACTGATGCTTATCTTTCAAAAACTGTATCTAATTAGAAGTGGCACAAGCATAGTCTGCCACGGGCCATCTCAAGCTTAGTTTAATTAATCTTTATGCCCTTCATTATTATTATTTTTTTCAATTTCCCATCTTTTCTTAATTTATTTCTGATCCTCCTTTGAACACATTGCAGTTGCAATCTTTTTGAACAATTTATTAGTTTTTTATGGCCAATTTTTGGAGATTATTTTTATGACATTTTTTGCTCTGCACGGAATGGATTATTATATTACTTCCATTTGCACACTTGTCTGTCTATTAATTTATTCATACAACGTTTTCTGTGGATTCAAGCAGACTGTATACAGAAGAGTATTTCATCAATGACATGCCTGCTGAGGGTATTCCTGAAATGCAAAGATCAAATCTTGTTTCCAGCGTCATTCAGGTAAGTTTTCTTCTTGTAGTACTTTCATTGCTGTAATGGCATACGTTGTTTCTTTTTGCTGATAGATGAGGAAGATATGAAGTTAGTCGCCATAACAAAAATTATGTATTAGAAGTTGTAAAATGATACGGTAATGTTGTTAATGCTTGTTAGATAAATATTTCAGGACCTGAATTTCAATAACCAGAATATGTCGTGTTTACTCCACCCTTGCCAAAATATTTCCATCCATCATCTTGTATATGTGTATTCTAAGCTTCAATCTTGATGATGCCATTTTACCTTTGAGATGCTAACATTTATATCCATCAATTAGTTGATTATCCAATTTTCATGATGCTTTGGAGGAGTTTTCTGTTGTACTCGACTATGACTAAGTTGTAGTTTGTTCAAACTAGTGTGGATAGTTCACACTAGCGTTTTTAATCTATTGGTTATGATGATCTGGCTGAACACATGCTCGATACACCTGATGTAGTGTACATGAAGTTCATACAATGCAGAGATCTTTCTTTTTTTTCAGATAGTTCTGCTTGAATACTGTTTTTTGCTATGTTAAGATCGTAATCATGAATTATTATTTCAGTTGAAAGCCTTAGGGATTGACAATATTCTAGGCTTTGATTGGCCATCACCTCCATCTCCTGAAGTAATGGTTCGGGCACTAGAAGTTCTTTATTCACTTGGAGTCTTGGATGATGATGCAAAGCTTACTTCTCCAGTTGGGTTTCAAGTTGCAGAGATTCCACTTGTACGTTTCTTGTACATTGATGATGTTCTTCTAAGCTGATAATCTCATCCAATCGTTTAGCAGTTTGGAGTTTATGTGTGATATTATGTTTATACTATATTCTTGAACATGTGTGTTCCCATTTGAAAACAAATTACAGGAGCCAATGATCTCAAAAATGATCTTAGCTTCTGGTGAGCTTGGGTGCTCAGAGGAGATCATTACGATTGCTGCTGTACTGTCAATCCAGGCAAGTTCTTATTCATTTGTATGCTCCCGTAGGATGTCATAAATGATCCCCAAGCTCATACCTGGGAATTGAGCAGTACAAGTGATTAACTGTTAAATGCCTCAAAATTTCTCATTTTCTAGAAGCTTACTTAATATAAAATTTAACCACAATTAACGGGTGATTGATTCTGCTTGATAATTTATGTTTATGATTAAGATGTCATCTTGCAGTCCATTTGGACTTCTAGTAGGGGAGCACAAAAGGAGCTTGATGAAGCAAGGTTGCGATTTGCTGCAGCTGAGGTACTGGTGCTGAAATTTCTTGCAAGTTATATTAATGAGGGAATAAAGACCATTATTTTACTTGTGACTGATATCCAGTAAAGTTTACTGAGCGCCATCATGGATCTTACAATTCATCAATTCTTGCCAGTAGCATTTTCATGTAACAATCCTAGTTTGAAGAGTGGGTCAATGTTGTGTTGAGAATCCGAAACAAGTTGCTTTTGCTTCTCAATTATCATCTTATGCATAAACGCAGATGAATGCATCTAGTTTGACTTATGACTCTAATTATCCTGATGTATGCAGGGTGACCATGTGACCTTTCTTAACGTGTACAAAGGATTTCTTCAATCTAATAAATCTTCACAGTGGTGTCATAAGAACTTTATCAATTATCAAGCTATGGTATGTGTGAAAGTTGTAGTTGTACAGAGCATTCAAGATATTTCTTCATTGTCTTCAGTACACAATTCTTTCACTAAGTAACCCCCCCTTCCCCCCTTCCAAGAGAGAGAGAACGAGAGATCTATAGTCTGATACAAATTTATTTCCATAAATATTTGTCATGGTAGTTCCAAGTTCAATTGTGTGCAGAAAAAAGTTATCGAAGTTAGAGAACAACTCAGAAGAATAGCTCAGAGATTAGGCATCGTCTTGAAATCATGTGAAAGAGATACCATGGTAAGTTTTTGGCCCACTTTTCTGTCAACTTTATATTTACTTGTGCATTTTGGGAGGCATGAGGCAGTGAGCATGTCGTTCTCAAAACATGTGTTCAGTATTTATTTTTACTTCAGAACTCTTAATTTCTGATTAAAATAATAATATTTTTCATTTTCTTCAAACAGGCTGTACGCAAAGCGGTTACTGCTGGATTTTTTGCTAATGCTTCTCATTTAGAGGTGAGCAATTTCCCATTCTAATTTACTCTTGTTTCTCTATGTTCTTCCTTTCATCTATCTAAATGGAGATATGTTATCGGCAGATGCAAGGCTGGCCCATCAGTATCTCTTCAAGTTTTGAAGTGTCTGTTTATACTCAAAACGCTATGTAGAAAAAATCTAAAATTTGATTTTTTAGAATTTTAGATCTCCCTCTGATACCTTCATTTATTAAATGAACTTAGTTTCTTAGTTAAAGAAAAAAAAAGAAGAGAAGAAAAGATTTAACACGCTGCAATCATTAACAACATATCATAAAAATCTTAACCTGTCTAGACTCTAATTTAATAAATATCCATACTTTTGAGTTTTGATTAAGTTTGATCCCTCTGTTACCAGTTCATCTCTAAGCACATTCAGAAATTGATCAATTTGTCCCTTTCAGTACAAGTTGATAAGTTTTCTCGTCTGTAGGCATACAGTCACAATGGAATGTACAAGACTACCAGAGGCTCTCAAGAAGTTTATATCCATCCCTCTTCAGTGCTATTCAGGTTAGTTTCAACAACTGATGAGATATTAAATTACCAGAAGATTCTCCAGAAACTTTTGGCAGTTGGCTCGACCATATTGGTCGAAGAACTCGTCTTTTTCATGGTTAAATTTTTTCAGCAAGAACACCATCCCTCTATTCACCTGTTTTAGATTCTTTTTGGAAAAGAAACTGTGAAGTCAAAAACTGAAAATAGAAGTTGATATGAAAAAAATTTGAAACTGGGAAGTAACAATCTGATCATATTTGCTAAGCTCCCCTTGCTTTTGTGTTCCAGAGTTAATCCAAAGTGGGTCATATATCATTCGCTCGTGTCGACCGATCGACAATATATGCGTAATGTCATCACCATAGATCCCGGATGGTTAACGGAGGCCGCTCCCCATTTTTACCAGTACAGGCAGCTCAGCCATATGCCTCACTGATACTGTATTTATTTAAGAGTTGCTGGACGAAGATGTCAATCTCAACAAATATTGGGAGATTTAAAATCTTCGAAGTTAAGAGTTCTATGGGGTGAACTGCATAGTTGTCTAATGATATTCACTCATTAGTAAAACGATTCTATTTAAATAGTTATTAGAAATTTTGTAAACATAAATATGGAATGCGATTGAACAAATTAACAGAATTTTCATTAATATTTTTAAGGAGCAGTAGCAAATCTACCATAAATGGGATAAAATATTACAAAATTAGTAGTTAAAAAAATCATTTTAAATAAGTAAAAAGAACATAAATCCATTGCTACTAAGGTATAGTAATTAACTTAATATCTAGGTTAATTAGTTACTGAATAGATGATAGTGACTAGTCAATCGACATTGAGTTCGACCGTGGATTAGGTAAATTAGCGGATTATCATATAAAATTTTTATATTTGTAAATATATATATATTTTAAAATAGTTTTACAAAAATAAACATTTTAAAATAATTTTAAAAATAAAAGGATAAATTACACTTTTCCAGATTAAGATAAGAATTTATTTCATGTTTTTGGCTTATGCATGCTTTCTTTTTTTTTTTTTTTCTCTCCTCCCATTGTTGCTGCGCTCGAGTCGCCTCCATTACAAACTATGCTCAATTGAAATATAGTCTATTCTCTTATACCTTTTCTTCCTCCGGTAGCCACCTCTCATCGTTCCTCTCCTCCATACATTTATCTACATTCACAATTATCTATCATTTTTTACTTTTTTTTAGACTTATTCAACCGTGAGAGTTAATTTAAAGTATTGTGGTGGTATAAAATCTCCTACCTATTACACATTCATTAGGGAAAAAAAAGACCATAAAACTTTGAAACTATGAAGTAACATATACTGGAACAATTAAGTGTCCACCAAATGTCTTCCCCTTACAAAAAAAACTAAAACTAAAACTAAATGGGGAAGTTTAAGAGTGTTGATCAGTGAGTTTGCATTTTGCAGTACAACACAGATACCCAAAATTGAGACTTACAGCTTCAAATCGAGGTCCACGCCATCTCTTTCGTCTTCGGTTCCGGTTCCGGCTCCGGCTCCGGCTTCAACCGCGCCCTTATACGAGGAGCCGATAGCGGCTTCTTTGCTGCCCTTTAACTTTGACTCATGGAAAGAGGAGTTAAACATAATTTTGTTGTATCTAACTGAGCCACTTCCTCCTCCTGCTCTCTTTTCCGAACCCTCCATAATTTCCTTCAAAATCATTTCTCCACACGTAAATTTTCTTTTTTTTTTTAATAACTTTTTCATCGTTTTTTTTTCTAATAATAAGTGGCGAGGGGTGAAATTAATATCCTTCCAAAACTAAATTAAAAAACGTTATATATATAAATGTTTAAACCCAACGACAAAATTTTCTTTTGGTTAGACAGAATGGCTTCAAAACTCAACAATGTAGAAGGGTGAAAGTGATCCAAGCATAATTTGGAAAAAAATATTTTTAAAAGGACAATTAAAAAAATACACTAATATATCCATAATTACAAAATTAAAATCTAGGTTCACTATCATATAAAATTAAAAAGAAAATACTAATTTACTATTATTATAATGTTAATCATCGGTTAATAAGTTCTAAAAAATAATTATTTTTTAATATATGATATATACTAGTCATTAATTTTATAAAACATACATGTGTGTTTGTAAATATTTTAGAAAATTTTATTTAAAATAAACCCAATAAAAAACCTCTAGCATGCATGTCTAGAAAAAAACTTATCCCACCACAAGAATATTTATAACTACAACACAAATTTTTAAAATGATGAAAACTTAAACAAGTAAAAAGCATATAACATAACCAGAAAAACTTATATGTCCACAAAACTATTATTGTCTATCCACAAGAATACTTATCTAACCACAAATTTGTAAAATGATGAAAAATTAAGCTTAACTAACTTAAAAAAGCTTATAATTAACATGACTAGAATTTCTTTTTTATATTTATTAAAATATTATTGTGTTGCTAACCATAAATTTCAAAAGGATGAAAACTTAAAAATAATATTTATTAAAAAAAAAACATATGACACGACAATAAAAACTTATATCTACAAAAATAATATAATATTGACTAGCAGCTTATAATAGCTATGCAAAAAATTTCAAAACGATGAAAACTTTACCTGTTGAAATTAATAACCTAACCATTTATGCAAGAGCTCGCCATTTAAATAAAGAGAGAAAAAATAAAAAAAAATCCCCCTCAGATACTAATTTTGTAGCTACGTTAAGTGTTTGTGTTGGGTAGGTTTGTAAACATTTTGGTGTTAGATTAGACATTGTCAATTTGGGTTTGAGAATTTTTCTAGCTAGCTGGATTTGGAGCATTTTGTTTGGTCGGATTTATTGATTTTGCTGTTAAGAAGATGTTGTATAGCTAGATTTTAATTAGGAGGGTATTAATAATGCTACCTAATCAAATCTAGGGTTTAATCTTTAATGGAAGAAAATAAAACTTTTTAAGGCCAAAATTCACAAAATCAAATCTAGCTAGGGTTAAATAAAAAGGATGGAAGAAGCATTTTGGAAAAGGAAATTTTCTGAAAACAGAAGAAAATTAAAGTTTGATGGGGGCCGGGGCAATGGGCATGGTGGGTTTTCTTACTTGGGCGATACGGAAATTGAACTCTGGAAATTCATTTGGAATTGGAGCTGATGAAGAAGAAGAAGGTCCTAATGCCATGAAATTGCTAATTTCTTCTGCTTGCAGCTGACTGCTTCTTGTGGAGCTCATTAACTGCCCACCAAAACCCCTTTTTGTAACTCTGCCCACACAAAAACAAATTCTAATTAACCAAAATTATAAACTTTTTTTTTTCTTTTTTTGGGTTTGAAATTCGATATATATATAGGGATTTGAAAAATAGAAAGTGAAGAAGAAGAAGGGAATTGACCTGAGATTTGGATCGAAATTGAAAGGAGTAGCAGTTCGATTAATTTCCAAGGAAGACGAAGAAGAGGAAGATGATTCTTTCATATTCATTGTCAACATTATTCCACCTCTCATCTCTTCTCCCAACGCTCGAGGCCTCTTTGAACATACAATCTGTACTCCAAATTTTACCCATTAATATTTATTCTATTTTCATACTCATCGCTTAATAATAATATAACCCTTCAAAATCATATTAAAATTATATAAAAAAGACCATTTCACTAACATCCATACATTATATAGTTTCATGAAAGGGAAGGATGGATGGATGTATTAGCAAATTAAGGTGTTTTAACTTTTAACCCCTGTTCATAACCATTAATTTTTTGGTTTTTATGTATTTAAAAATTAAACTTATATTTTTCTTTATTTTTATCTACCATATAGAGTTTTCAAATCTGAGCCTAATTCAAAGGAAAAAAAAAGACTAAGAACTTAAATTGTTTCTAAGCCTAATTTTTTAAAATAGTGTCAATATTTTCTTTTAGGGTACGCGGTGGAAAACTTACATATATTTAATCTATATTTTCGCAAAATGAAACTAATTACAGAAAATTTATCTATACAAATTTGGACATTTTGAAATTTGGTGATATGGGAAGTAAAAGAAAGAAATATATATTGTAATTAAAAAAAGAGTTAGTGAAGAAGTATTTGCCTTTTCTTGTTCCTCTGGTGAGGTCCATAAGTTGCTGAAATGAGTAGATCTTTGGCTTGAAGGGTGCTCTATTTGATGAAACAGTCTCGCCGTTGCCGTTGCCGTTGCTGCCGATGACGTGGCTGACGCAGAGCCTGGAATAATATTATTATTATTCACCTGAAATTAAAGTTGCAAACTTTTATATTTAATAATAATTTCCCCAATAAAGTTATTATTTTTAATTTTGAAATTTATAATATTGTGTCACTCACTCACTCACTCACTCAGTACTCACCAATGAATTATAGAAATCGAGAGCGGAAGGAGAAGACTGGAAATTAGGGAAAAAATCTGGAGGAACAGGCAGCGACGATTTTGTACTGTCCCCGAGGACGGGTGTTGTTGGAAACAAGGCCTTTTCGGGCCCACCGGAAAGGAGTTCAAGATTTGGGAGCAACGGCAGTAGATGTGGCGGCCAAGACGGCGGCGGCTGGTAATTCGTGCCGGAATCTTGGCCGCCTTGTTGTTGCTCCTTCAAGATCTTCTCGAGCTCTGCAACACCAGGTCCTCTCTTCGGGGTTCGCTGTCGTTTTGCTTGACTTTTCTTCATCGCTCACTTCTTAATCCAGCTTCTTATATTACTCATTTCCCTGTAAAACAAAACAAAAAGAGATCAGATGAAATACAAGCTCGTGGTCGTGGTGTTGTATGTATAAATAATTAATCCAGTAATTGGATTTTAAATCTAATTGCAAGTGGGGAGAAAGATCGTGTCCAGCTGGGGTGGGAATTGGGTGGGTAGTAGTGACGAAGAAACAAATTTATTAATTGATAATAGAATCTAGAATTTCCAAATGAAAAACAGAGAAAATATTTATGTGTGAAACGGGTATAATCGAAATCTAATGATCATAAAAATAAATAAAAAAAGGGAAAAATTTAGAAATTGACACCGAGATTTAGGGAAGGGAAAAATCGGAGAAGATCGAGAGTGGGGAATTAGGGATTTGGAAAATTTTAATTCAGAAGGAGAAGAAGAAGTGGCGCGAAGTCGAAGGAAGGAAGGTG